AATAGTGATGGAAGGGCAAGTGCCAGAAGACCATCATCCGCCTCCCATTTGGCTGCCCCTTTTTCCAACTAAGGGTTGTCCTTCTACATCAGCCCAGGGGTTCCCCATCTAGCACCTTGCCCTTACCTTTGCATCAACTTGCCTATTTTTTCCCCATACAGAACCTTTTTTGGGGTTTGCCTAGCATCAGCCTGAAGTTGACCTTGGCAAATTGCTTAATGAGGACAGTGTTCTGTACCAAGCTTAATAAAAAAACAAGCATTTGAGAAGCTGACAAGCTAGGGCAGCTTTGCTGCGATTCTGCCGAAAAGATAGTAGAGGTCGCTCTTGAATGCAGCATGCAGAAGATGGCACAGATGAACCTTCTTGAAAGAAAGCATTTGAGAAGCTGATTAGCGAAGGAAGTTTTGGTGCTTTAACAGATGTGAAATATTGGTTACTAATTAATGCAGCCCGAAGAAAAGGCACCTTTCCCTGAAATGCACTCCAAAGTAGCAGTCGCTCTTGAATGCAGCATGAAGAAAATGCCATCGGCGAGCCTGCATAGAATAAAGGGTTCTGTACAGGAATAAAGAAACCTGAAAAGACACCCACGCCGGGATTTGAACTCTGGACCCCACGGGCAGAAACAGGCGCTTTAACCATTACACCACAGGAACCAATATATGATGTGATAGGTTCCGGATGACTGTAAGAATCCATTGTCCCCTTGTGCCTCTGCATTGACTGGCAGGGCTGTAAGTTCCCCTTCTGCCTAATAAAGTCAATACCAACCCGAGGCCCTTTTCTAAAAGAGCCTGCCTAAATAGCTCAGTCGGTAGAGCGCACGGCTAAGGTCAATAACCTTGTCCAAAAGGTTGTGGGTTCGATTCCCACATCTGCTGGAAATTCAGCTCCAGAGCAGTTCTGGTTCACTGTGCTTTAACCAACTCTCAATAGTGATGGAAGGGCAAGTGCCAGAAGACCATCATCCGCCTCCCATTTGGCTGCCCCTTTTTCCAACTGGGGTTGTCCTTCTACATCAGCCCAGGGGTTCCCCATCTAGCACCTTGCCCTTACCTTTGCATCAACTTGGCTATTTTTTCCCCATACAGAACCCTTTTTGGGGTTTGCCTAGCATCAGCCTGAAGTTGACCTTGGCAAATTGCTTAATGAGGACAGTGTTCTG